CCCCACCCCTATGTGCCAAGCCACTGACCTTGAAAGTCGTCGAGCCAGTCTGGCTGCCCGTAGTGCTCTGACGTGAGGACGCACGTGTTGAGGAACACCAGCACAATCACGATCCAATAGAACGCTTGCGACTTGACGATCTTGCGGCAAAATCTGCGGCACCTTCTGTTGAGTTTCTGTAGCCTCAGCCTGTGTGATTGGTCGGTTGATGCAGGGGAATGGAGGGGAAAATTAGATTGGAAATAGAGGAAATAATGGAAAAAATTAGATAGGAAATAGAGGAGAAAAAATAAGATTGGAAATAGAGGAGAAAAAAATAGCTTGGAAATAGAGAAAAAATTAGATTGGAAATAGAAGGAAAAATTAGATTGGAAATACAGGAAAAAATAAGATTAGAAACAGCGGGAAAACAGACCAACCTTCACCTTGGCACTCACAGACAACGAACATCTCAACAGGCTATCTATGTTTGAATTCCGTTACCGGTTTTTTCAAAATCTGTTGACAATTCTCCCCCCCTCCCCCCAATCCTGACCTAAATGAGAAGACATGACAGAGGATTTGTAACTATTTATAGCACTCGCTGACTCATGGTTTTCATGAAGGTCCCTCAGACCGACCTCACACCCCACCCCTATGAGACACATCACACCTTTACACCCCTAAAAGACACATCACACCTCTACAGGACACATTACACCCCTAAAAGACACATCACACCTCTACAGGACACATCACACCTCTACAGGACACATCAAACCCCTACAACACACGTGACACCCCTACACGATACATGACACCCCTACACGACACCTCACCTTTTCTGCTGAAACCACGACTGCTGCAGTTCACCGCTCTCGCCTTCCTCTGTCTTGTCCTCTGAGTCAATGTCGCTGGCGATCTTAGCTGTACCCACCACGGACGGAAGGGAATATACAAGGACAGAGTCAGACATCTATCGTCCTTTATTCTCCTCCTTCTTTCCTATCAAATATCTATCAAGCTTATCATTCCTATAAAACTATCAAACATCTATCAACCTTATCATTCCTATCAAACTATCAAACATCTATCCTCCGTATCATTCCTATCAAACATCTATCCTCCGTATCATTCCTATCAAACTATCAAACATCTATCCTCCGTATCTTTCCTATCAAACATCTATCGTCCTTACTGCTCCTCCTTCTTTCCTATCAAACATCTACTGTCCTTATCTCTCCTCCTTCTTTCATATCAAATATCTATCCTCTGTTTTTCTACTCCTCCTTTCCATTTTTTCACCGGTTTCACAGCCTTTATTGAATTTTTGTTTATTGGCTCAGCGCCTTATATTATGTCCATTTAAAAACACATTAATTTTCTTTATGGACTTTCCTTAATAATGTGGATTAAAGGCACAAAAAAATGTAAATATTGTATCCAAAGCCAAGTCTCAAGCTAAGTCACCAAATTTTGGCAGCCATTTTCTCACTAATTTGACTTTTGAAACCACGCGACCCCCACCCAATTCAATCACAAATATCTCGACATCTATTCAAGATAAGACGGGGTATTTTTGTATCAAAAGAAAGGCAAATGAACAAGTTCTAAGATGATACCAATAATTCCACAAGCTCAAAAATTGACGAGCGCCTCATTCCAACATGTCATGAAACATATGCCCATGA